CAACCAATGTATATGAACTTAAAGTAAAACAAGCATCAGGAAAATATATCGGTCAACATTTGACCAACAATAAGCCAACTTTGCTCATTAAGGTCTACAAAATCACCCACACATTGCACTACACTGCACTGCACAGCACAGCATACCACACCACACCACGTCAATATCTCCTCCAAGGACTCCTCGAGTGTTGTGTTGGTCTGCTGTAAAGATGTAAAAGTTCCAGAATTTCAAAGACAATCTTCAAGAATTTAACATGCAAGTCAAGTGGCTTACAACTAAACAATTAGTAAGTCAAAGTTTGTGGATCTTAACTGTGGGATTAAGCACATAAGATTAGGATTTATAATCAAAATAGAGTGCATGTTCACTAAATTCAGTGGTTTCAACAGCCGAAAGGTTGCATTGCATTTTAGTCTATATTTAATCCACGAATGAATTTATGAGAATTAAATAAAAAGGATGCTTCTTTATCTCCCTCTCCCCCATCATCAATGATATGGATAGGTTATAACCTGCCAGATTTGATCCATGAGCTTTAACGGTTTTCACGGATAAAACCATGAAGTCATAACAGCTTCAACTACATTATTTCTGGACCCTATAACTGAATACGTAACCTCAAGATTATCATTATCAGAATCAGAGTTCATGATTCTGTGATTTCCCGATAATGCATTACGGAGTGAGGACAACAGTTTCCAGTTGTAAAAGCAAATGCTGCTATTCCAATAAGATATTGAGAACATGAACCCAAACGTAGCAACAGAAGTACAACTATGGCTGCAATTTCTTTGTAAAAAAATATTTCATACACAATTTTGCATAAGTTAGAAACTATCATTAAGCAAGTGCAGGGTGGCAATTGGGGGTTCAAATCCCTACTTATTTACAAGGACCAATAGATCTTCATCTTCCAGATGATTCACCAAGTTTCTCAAAATTTTCATCACTATACAATATAAACACCAGTTGAGATTCTAACCATTTGATATAAACTCCTCAAAAAGTTCCTCCGCTAGTTCAAATAGTTGCTTCTTGCTGAATGCTGCAATTAAGTTGTTTGGATGTGTCCAGCTCAAGTTCCATAAGAAGTCCTCTCAGTTCATGTGCCAGCGTCAAACCTTCTTTGGGTCAATGATCTCTGCATTTGCTTTATTTAGTGATGTTATTAATATACATATGATAAATTGATTTGTAAATCTCCTTCATATCAATTTATAATGTTTCTAACTAGCACTCTTGAGGGAATGGAAATATATTAGAAAAATCACATGACCAAGAAATGGCTCCTAGAAAGAATTTGTTGAGCCAAACAAGCTATGTAGTAGATGAAAACACAGCATGTGAGACATTTTTAGTATCGTCATGAGCAAGATAAAATTTTTTCTTTATTATTTTGTGAAATATTGAGTCATCCTATTTTCTGATTTTCTCTTGACTCACTTATTCTCCCACATGTCCAGCTCCTTCACGAGCTTCAGAAACAGTGTCATTGTCACTGCTTGTAGCAAAAGCTTACTTGCCGCATTTGGAAGCTAGGGTGAAGCGATATCCACAAGGGCTTGATTGGCTCAGCACAGAACAAGGGAGAATGTTTGCTTCCTTATTTGCTGAGGTTATTTGCATTTTGAGAACCTCTCACACATTGGACTTAACAAAAGATGATAACAACTACATCAGAGAGTGTTGCACTGCCTTACAAGCGGTTGGTTTTGAAGCTTCATGGCTGAGCTACGTGTATGGCCGCATTGAGGAATGTGAGGATGGAGAAGACATCAAGAGCAGGCTTGAGGAAGCTAAAGCTTCGACTCTGGAAAGGGAGTTAGCTTCCGTTAAAGAGTCCATAGTATTGCCGCTTGAAACAGCCAACAAGATAGACAAGTTCATTGATTCCTGAAATTGGCTCAGCCTTATGCATCTTCTAATTTCTTTCACATTTTCAAACTACTTACATATTTTATGGATTATTTGGAGGGTATACGAAACTTCTTGGATTGCGTATAATAAAGGCACCATGTTCGGTTTGGGTATCGGAGTATGGGACTCTATGCCTTACCCACCGTTTAATCATGTCTCTTAATCTATCTTTACTAGTCTCTCCAACAGATTTGCTCTATCTTTTGTCAACCCCGCAATATTGTTCTTTGAATTAATTGATGGCGTGGTGTAGAGTGAAAAACAGGGCAGAGTAGAAACCCTCTTGTTAGATTCCACTTTGTGATTTTATACTATTTGACTAAATTAATTATTCATTATACTATCTAATGGCATTTTGAACTAATTTACATTTTCAATAAGTTAGTTAATGTCATTTAAAATTACACCTTCTTTTTATGTTTATTCTTATTTAATAAAATTTTTAATTTAAAATTCTTATTAATTATAACTTAAAAAACTCAAAATGTCTTTATTTTTTAACATGATACATAAAAAATTTCTTATAATACTTAAATAGAGAGTGTATTTTTTTAATGAGAAAGGAGTAGGTTTTTTAATAAGCATGTTAAACTGGCCGGTTAGAAATTATTCCTTGGGAAATTTCTATTCAACCAATCACAAACTTAAACCTTCACAGTTCACATAATGTTTTAATTGGATCAGGGTTCTGGCTTATGGGGAGGATTCTCTCCTCTTCCCTCCTAATTATCTTCTCCCTTTTCAAATTATAAGATCAATACTTTGACAGTTCAAATTTGATTTTTTATAAAATATTTTTTATTTTTATTAAGGTTTTAAACTTTTTAAATTGAATTTTAGAAGTTTGAATTTAAGTTTTAATCTTTGTTACAATTTTAATATTTTTATAGTAAATTTATAATAAATCAAATGCGAATCATTTAAATTTGATCCATCGAAAAAATTATAGGAGGGGAAGAGGATAAAAAAAAGGAAGATAATAAAATAGATGCGATGAGGCATCATGAATCTCAAGCTTCATATGAATTAAAAAAGCACAAAAAATTGTCACGAGACAATGATACAATGGGAAAATGACATGCTTTGGAATCTCAGGAAAGGGAAAAATTTTAAGAATCTCTATCCTAACATAGGCCACATGCTTTCAAATAATTTCTCCGGAGATGGAGGCTATATATTTTATAAGAACTGCAAACAATTCCTCAAATCAATTTCATTTCTGTTAATGTGCTTTTAAATGCCACTAGCTCATGTACGTACATTGAAATAAATTAAACTTGATGCTTTATTATGTTTCAGACCCGTTCAGTTTCAATGTTCATCCATCATGCTCATCACTTGATGAACATCTGAATCATCCAAATTGAGAATTCGAACAGTCTAAATTTTATAAAATTTATTTTTTATTTTATTTTGTATTTATTAAAAAATTATAAAATTTTAATAAATTTACTTTAACGTCAATTTGGATAATATAGATTTAATCTAAATAATTTAATTTAATATTAACTTTTTTAATTTTTATAAATTAACTATCCAGATGTATTTTGAATAGACTAGATTTAGAGTATATCTATATAATCAATTCATAAAAAATTAAAAAACTTTAATATTAAATTAGATTATTTAGATTAAATCTATATTATCCATATTAATGATAAAATAAATTTATTAAAATTTTATATTTTAATAAATATATAATAAAATATAAAAAATTAATAAATTTCACCCATTCAAATTAAAAATCAATCTGAACAATATAGATTTAATTTGAATAATCTAATTTAGTATTATTTTTTTTAAATTTTTTATAAATTAACTATCTAGATGTACTCTTTAATAAATATATGATAAAATATAAAAAATAATAAATTTGACCTGTTCAAATTAAAAATTAATTTGAATAATACAGATTTAATCAAATAATTTAATTTAATATTAATTTTTTTAATTTTTATAAATTGACTGCCCTTAAATTAGATAATTCAAATTAAATTTATATCGTTCAGATTAATAATAAAGTAAATTAATTAAAATCTTATATTTTAATTAATATATAATAAAATATAAAAATAAAATTGATAAATTTAAACTGTTTAAATTAAAATTTAGACTATCCAAATTGGTCAGAGCATTGAAAGTGAACCCATTTCAGACAGGGACCTTGCAGAGCCAATTAAATTAAAATGGCTGCGAACAACTAGGTTGACCGCGACTTTGAACAGAGCGTTGGTCTATGAATAATTGTTATAATAATAAAATTAGCAGTTAACGATGCGCTCAATATATATAAAAATGCAGATGTTTGTCCCACGGAGTACGAGGAACCAAGCTGCACCCTTAAATTTCTTTTTATGTTCTTCACTTAGATCTATTGGATGCACATCTTGTTTCGCTTTTGTTTGCAGACTCTTGTTCTTCTTTCTTGCGATCTAAAGCTCAGTTTCTAGTTTTTATGTCTACTTCATCAGCTCACTTCTTCCCAAGTTAAGCTTGTTTTGATATTTTACACGTTTAAGCTACTTTTCAAAAGCCAAAAAAAAAAAAAAGTCATTTTTCTTCTGCACTACGTATTTTTTTTTTTTTTCGCGTTCTTGTCACTCACATCCAGTAAAAATCTTTAAAAATTTGGAAAAAGGAAAAAAATCTTTAAAAGGTCTTTTAGTGCTTGGCCAGTTCATATAAAAACTTTTTTAAAAAAAAAAAGTGGGTGCCTTCGTTTTAAAATCTCTTTGATTGTCACTCTTCTTTTGCATTAGCTAGGTTCTTTAGTTTCTCGTCACAAGGGGAAAAAAAAAAATCTTTCTTTGAAAGTTTTGTACTGCTTGTTAATTAGTTCACATCCGAAGTTTTTATAGGCGATTTTTTTTTTTTTTAAAAAAAAAGGTCTGTGCTTTATCGGAGACAAGAGAAGGCGGAGCTGTTTGATCATAAAGAGAGATATACAGGTAAAGTTGCCTCCAGTTGGTTAGAATTTATGCACTTTGGTAATATTTAAGAATTTGTATTAATCTGTTTACTTATATATTTTCTCTCTTTGGTGTTCAATGGCAGAAATTTATGTACTTGATACTCCAAATCTCAAACTTAAGAAGAACATTCCCAACACTACCTCTCATTTACATGGGACAAGGTAACTTAAAGATCTGGTTCTTATTATGTATTGTATGTGGACTGATATGCTCTGATTTTCTGATTTATTCAAAAAAGAGAGGTCTAGTTAATGTCAAGGGATCATGTTTGTTTTACGCCATATTTTTTGAAACAAAAAATAAAAATACCAAATTTCATAATCCTACCTGCTGCTTTTGACAACATGTGTTTGTGTGTATTTGTCAAGTAATAGAGAATCTTATCTGACCCCTGTCAATTTTGGTATTGTTAGTTTTTCCTTTACAAATTTTAAAGTTCACTGTGTGTGCGTAATGAAGCAGTAGACATTTTTAACTGTTTGTTCATATATTTGAGTTCTTTTCATTTGAAATTCTCTATTGTGTGGGAAACCGGTGTTGTTAATTATAGCATTTCATTGTAAAAAAAAAATTATAGTATTTCAACCTCAGTTAGATCTTGGAGCTAGATGGTGCAAGATCCTTCTTCATTCCAAAGACATAAAATTAAAAAGTCCAAAATAAAAAAGTTGGCCAATAAAATGGCAACCCTGTAATGGGAATCTGGGGACTCGAGCTGAACGATGAATATTACCTCCCCGTCTTAAACATGAGATATAAGGTTTTTTTTTTTAAAAAAAAATTATTTATGACTTCAATTTTCTTTGTTTCTTTAATTTTATATTTTTCCTAAATTACTTTCATCATCTATATTTGATCAGTGAAGCACCTAGGAAAATAAGTTAGTGGAGGCATAATTTATATTTAAAATAAATATTCATATTTTTTAAAACATAATTTTCAATATTTATAAAAGTATCAATTATAGAATTAGTTAAATTTGACATCTTATATTTGTCATTTATTTAAGAAATATTGATTTAATTTTTTTAGCGAACAGCCTACAAATAAATATTGGACGCATTTTTTGAATAACTATCAAATAAGGGATCTTTATTTAATACTAGTTTTTCTTTTTTAAAATAATTAAATAACTGTGAAGTAAGGTTACATTAATTGACACATATTAGTACAATATTACTCTTACCATTAATAAATATTAACTTTAATTATTAATTGACTAAAAATTACCAAAAAAAAGTTCATGCTCCTTTTAAAAGAAGAATTATAAATTTTAAGGAATGCTTATAAATAATAATAACATGTAAACTTTTAAATATTAAAGTATTGAAATTTAAATAATATATATATTGTTAAAACAAACATAATATTTTTTAAATTACTTATTGGTGTTGGTATCAATAATGGTGACAATTGACTCTAAATATCAATTATAGTAACAATTATTTTTAAAATATACTAATTATTTTTCAGCTAATTATTCCTTACTTAATTACAATTGAATTTTCATTCGTCAAATCTAGAGTCCTAACCAAATTATAGATCTACAATTTGAGTCATCACGAATGTATCTCTAAAATACCTCTCTAGATCTAAGCTCATGATTATTGAATTTGCTGCATATTTTCAAGATTTAATATATACATATAAAATTTATTTTCTCCCTCCACTGATTCTTCTTTTATATATGTGTGTGTGTTCAGTTTCTTCTTTATTCTCATTCATTCATCTATTATTTTTCCTGTATAGAAAAGAGGAAATATGAGTAAATTTTCTATCTAAATTCTATTTAGTCTAACAATTAAATTTAGGGAGAAAATTATATAAAATAAATTAATATATCTCAAAAATTAATATATAAAACAATATATATATATATACATGTGTGTGTGTGTGTAAGATCTAATATATCTCATAAATCACGCATGTTTAATTATAAAACATGCCACACTTATAAAAAAGCCTACTTCTAATCAAATGACCTTCCATTTTACCAACCCAACATCCTATGTTTTGGCAAGTTTAACTCGGCTCAACCCCTATCATCAACCTTAGGTTAAGGGCTCAGTGGATAAATGTCAACCACCCAAAAAAAAAAAAAACTCATAAAATGAATGATAAATTATCTCCATTCGATTTAGAATGTAATTTTTATAAAAATTTGTGAAGATTAATTTTTTTTAAAAGTCTCTGTTAATAATTTAACAAATAATGATTTATCAAATGACAAGTTCTATTATTAATTTTGATAATTTCTATTAATAATTTTACAAGTAAATTTTACTAAAAAAAAAGTTCACATAGGTTTTTTACAAGTAAACTTTTGGTAATAATAAAAAGTAAATATTTATAAAAATGGTGCATATTAAATATTTTAATAAGTCTCATTTGTAATTTAATAAATAATCATTTATTAAATAACAAGTAACTATTAACTTCTTGAAAAGCATTGTCATAAAAAGTGAAAACAAAATTAATAGTATATATAATATTGTGTATTATATAATTATGAAGCATTGGTAAATTAGTGACTACTAATCTTTTTGACGACCTAAGAGGATTCTGCTTTCAAACTCTTTTCAGCCACTTTGAAAAAAAAAAAAAAAATTTTTCACCTTTGTCAAAGCTCCAACTGCTAGCAACCATTCTGGTGGTTAGTGTGGGAGCTCTAACCACCACCAGCTATGTTCCAAAACAATTTTTTTTTGAAGGGGGGGTTAATATACAAACATACACACATATACTGAGAGGTAATTTTGTCTTTTTACCATATAACTACTTATTGTTGTCGAGCCACAATTACACAAGGAAATTTACAACTATAGTAGAAAATAGAGAGAGAGAAGGGAAAAGAATCAGAAAACCAAGGGAAAGTAGTTTCAAATAATTTTCAGTCTTCAATCCTTAATTAGCAAAAAAAAAAAATCTATATATTAATAGAAGAACCAATGTGTCTACAAAAATTTTGGGACAATTATACTCTATCCCGGCCGAAAAGGTGATGCAAGATTGATAAGTCATTGATAATTGGATCACATGGTTGGATCTTAATAATTACTTGATCTTAATTCACAAGCCCAATGTATCAAACTTGATCATTGTACTGTACTAATAAATAATAATGCAAGAAATTCATGTAGATTGAACAAAAGAATGAAGTATTGTACACCATAGAGAGCCAAAAGTGCCATATACAAGACAACGAATTATCAACCATTTCTTGAACGATAATACATTACCCCAATACAACTTAAAGGAATTTTTTTAGGCACAAATACAACTTAAGCTTGCGTTTGAATGGGTGAATTTGGATTGAAAATTTTTATTTAAAATCTTACATTTAAAATTTATAGATTTTAAATTTTTTGTTTGGATGACATAAACAATTTCAAATTATAATATTAACATCCTTTATTTGGATCTTAAATAAAATTTTAAATTTTAAATTCTATGAGTAACTTGAACAATATCGATGGTTCAATCATAGTTAAAGTTGCTGATCTAGAAGGCCGACTTCTATTGGCATTAGACTGCTGGTTCTTACTAGGATTGAATGGCAAACTTCCACCAAGATCGTACCGTCAATGATGATTAGGACCAGGCGACTACTCCCACTAGAATCGGACCGTCGACATCAATCGAGCCCTAATTGATCCTTGTCATTGCTCGCACTTTAGCTCGATTGGCTTTGGAAGTCCAGCCTCAGTAGAAGTCAATTACTTGGTCCTGATTGGAGTAGGCCGTTCGGTCTAGATCAACTTTGATGGTCCAATCTCGATGGAAGTTGGTCATCTAGTCCCAGTTGTTACCTACACTCCTATCCTAGTCGATGTAGGCAGTTTGATCTTAGTGGAGGTTGCTAAGCTAGTCCTGGTCATGGTCGGATTTGGCCATCTAATCTTGGTCATAGGAGGCTATTCAGTCTTGATTGACAGCGATGATTTTGTCTTGGTTGATACTAATGGTTTGGTCCTTATGAAAGTTGGCTGTTTGGTTCTCGTCGTCACCTACACTCTGGTCCTAATCATCGCTGGCAGTTAGGTGTCAATAGGAGCCAGCCGTTTGGTCCCAATTGGCACTGATGGTTTAGTCCTGATGGAAGTTGGCCATCTGGTCTCGATCGTTTGGTCTTGGTTGCCGTAGCAATTTGGCCCTATTTAGTGCTACGACGAGCCGGTCAAATTACAAAAAGATTGAGATAGGATTTAAAATAATATAAATTTAAAAATAATTTCAAATTACAAAGAAATTGAAGTAGAACTTGAATTTAGATTTGGATCAAATACAAATTCATATATTTTTAATTACTCGAATAATGGATTTAACTCAAATTCAAATTCAAATCTAAATCCAAACCCACATCCCTATGCATCTAAACATAGCATTAAGGAATTTAATAAGGTAAGGCCAGGCCTCCATAGGTCACACGTAAGCCTAATTAATATCCTTTAGTTTATATAGATTGAACATATAACCACGTGTTTAATTTTTTTCAATAAATATATTACCACATATCTTAATAATAAACTTAAATAATTCAGCATATTATATATTTATTAATACTCCAACACTTGTGTTATCGTTTATTGCAATAAACCCTGTGTTTTTTTTTTTTACTTGGTGAAATGCTTTTGTTTTTTAAATAATTGACGGACAGATTTTAATTTGACTTTTATGAAATTTTATTATTTTATTTTATATCTGACGTTTATAACGGGTGAGTCTTCATATCCATGATTTTGGATTTTTGCTCTACGTTGTTGTCTTTTTTTTTTTTTTGTGGGGAAGTGATTTTGTTTGTTTGTCACGGATTATTTTCAATCTGTTCACGATAAGCAGGCAAAATGTTGATTTTTTTTTGGGGCTTTTTTACGTTAATAATTTGTATTATATTATTCTGCATCTTCAACTCTTATGTTTAAAATATTTTGGAGGTGGAAAGGACACACTCCCCCCCCTCTATACATATGTGTATACTCTTTCTCTTAAAAAATATAAATTATTTTTAATTAAATTTTTACCCTAATAGAATATTTATTTATTTTCAACTAACATGATCTTTTCATATTTACCTATTTAATAAAATATTTTACTCTAAAATAAATATAAAATAATTTATTTATTAGGATTACATTTGATAAAAAAATAATAATTACACCTT